TCTTTATAAGCACTTTGACTTTGAATATTCATAACCATCATGTATACCATAAAGTAACCATATGTATGATAATGACAGCACTATTGTTGTAAGAATACAATTCTTTCTATAAGGGATAGGTAGTAGGGTTGTGTTGTGCCCAATTGAGCCCCCTATTACCCGACCCTACCAGGGTACCCACAGAATGTCTGAAGAATTGGGTAAAAAAGTTGGAAGTGTTTTACAGGAGCTCTGGCAAAAAATATTCAGATACAAATATAAAATTGTACGATGGTTTGATGCTCATGATGTTAGTCACTGGATTGTCTGGTCCAGATTCGAATATTTACAGACCGCCGTCATATAGCGGGAATATTGCTGAGTGCGGCGTTAATAAACAAACCAACCAACCAACATATAAAATGATCTGGTCAGGCATGCACTGAAGCTTATGTTTATTCAAACATATAAAAGTCAAAAGAAATGCATGCATAGTCAGAAAGAATGCGAACATTGGTGATTAATAGTGTAACCATGAAGTCATAGTGAATTTTTATCAATTAACAATATATCATGTGACTAACCACGGGTCCTGGTAGTCCTGTGGGTACCTGGGTCCTACTTAGTACCCTCCCAACCCAAGTACCCGAGTTATCCGTCCCAGCCCTAAATTAGGTAGGTGAATATTTTCTCAGTTGGGGTTGTATTTGATTAATTTCTGCTTACTACAGTGAAGATAAAGACAATTGACTATTCATGTTTTCTTGGGGATATCCCTACATAAGTTATATGGCAAGAAGTCCCATGTATATATTCCAAAAACAGTGCAAGAAGAACACCAAGGTGAGGTCCTGCCCTGGTCACATATTCATGGACGTGGTTGTCATTATCAAGGGGGCAATTATTGCTAGGACTACGTCTGTTGTCTCCTTTCAAGTGTTGGTCTCTGTGTAGCCTCTGCCACCACCACCTTTCTTCCACTTGAGCGTTATCTTGGTGAGATCACTGACTTTATCCCTGTGTCTTCCTCTGTAATCCGCGGATAACTTCAGTCTCGTGTGGGGGATAATCCAACATCACAGTCACAGTATTTCACTCTCTTTACAGCCAGCAAAAGGCTTGAGATTTCTGAAGCTGGCACTTTTCAAAGAGACATTTGAATTATTTTGTTTCTGAGAAATACAACCTTTGGAATTTAAACACTGAAAATCTTGCATATTCTTTTTGGGTGTGCAAGCTTGTTTTTGGTTTCTGTAGGAAAAGGCTTTAAAGCTTTGGCTAAATGGGTCATGTCATGTGTGAATTTAAGTGATCATTTGTCAAGAATTAACTAAACTTTTACGGCAAAGACCATTTCTCACAAAAAATAAAGGGATAGCATTTAACTGGTTTCTGTGGTGTCTGTATGGTAATGTCATCCATTATCCTGTTAGAAGAATGCAGATGTGTTTATGATGTATCCAGAAGCATTTTAAATGTAACGTAAGAGCATTTCAAGGCTGTTTGGTCTCATTTAACCTATAGGTTCAAGTCATATATATGACTGATTTAATGATGCATCTAGTCTTTTGTATTGGATCTGTAATATGATAGGTTTGTTCTTGTCAGCAGAGAACTGTAAACTTTAAGGTAAATTGTCTACATAAACTGAAGTGAGTATTTAGCTTTGGGACATCATGGCCAGTGTTTGTGTGTGAATTTTATTTCTCGGCTGATGTCAGAGAATGGGTAAAATTGTGTGCTACTTTGCTCTCTGCTCTTTGTAGATTACACAAGACTCATTAGAAAGAGATTAGGCATGTTATTACACTTTGTATTATGGACACTTTGTGGTATTTATAACCATGAGATGTTTTTCTTTTGTATTGATGCAGGAAATAGGAAAAAAACATTCATGCTAGCATGATGAAGTGCCTGTGTTATTTATGCTTTCTCTAAGAGGTGAGAGTTATCACCATTGTACACAAGGCTGGGAGATAATTGATCAGTGAGGTTTGAGATACAAAATTCATGAAATTATGTTCAGAATTTCTGCATCACTTTACATACCCTACCATGTGGTACATAAGCACATAATCACAGTTTTTAAAGTAAGTGCTGAAGCCATTAGTTCAGTACGATGTTTGGTATTTGATGAAGCATAAAAATTGAGTGCTACATTGCTACAACAGCTCTAGCACTGCGCACAATCAGCAATTACTCTCGTCATAGAAGATAATTGAACAATAGAGCATTGTCTGTTATCAGTCCAAATCTTGTCCATGTTAAATAACCATCTGAGTGGGAGATGATTGTGTATACACGGATAAGTATTAGGTATAAAAGCAATTGTTATGTGCCACCAGGCAGAATAATCAGTTGAATGGTGTGTAATAAAAACGTTTGATGTGATACGGCCTGTCTACATTTACAACATGGGGCCTAATGTTGTATGACTGTAAATGAAGACAGAGACAGCTCCCCGAGACTGTAGCTTTGTCCTGCTGTATCAAGTTTGACTTCTGCTGTGAGGATTTCAGTGTAAAAAAGTAAATGTTACAAACAAGATTACCCTCTGGTCCATGGTTTCTTACAAACATTACACAATGAATTTTTTGTTTTATAGTTTAATAGGCTTGTACAGGGGTAGAGTCCATATGGCAAATCCAACTATTCCACAGCTGTATTTGGTCTAGTGGTTAATTTAGTGGTTCTTTTGATTATGGATATGGTTTCCTCGCTTTTCATAACTTAGATTTTTGGAGCAAACATGTAGTCCTTCCAGAGTGAAATTTGTCGAGGGGAAAGTGGATCAGTGGCCTTGTATAATCCTGATTATATTGTCAAGTTGGCTTGTATAATGAAACAAAAGTGATAAAACCCTTTCCATAATCACAAGAGGTGAGGTGAAATAGGGTTTAACATCGCTTCAAAGATTATTGCACATATATAGCAACATGCTGATTTGTAGTGCTAGCCCATTGAGATACCATGCCACAGTTTAACATGAATACCCCACTCAGACACAGTGCACTGACTCCAAGCCGACCAGTCCTTGTTTTAGTCCCTTCATGCCAAGCGTCAGACAGGGTAACAACAAGTTATCTTTTAACGTCTTTTGGTATGATGCAGCCGGGTATTGAACCCTGGTATTTCCGCTCTCCGGGCAGACGCTCTACCACTCTACCACGGAGGCATTTATGAGTCCCTATCAGGTGCAAGTGTTTATGAATCACTATCAAATAGTTATGATACCAGGTATTCGCAAAAGGTGTGTGTACCTTGCCCAACTGATGGCACCCATCACAAACACATGATGGTAATATCAAACATAAAAAGGATTGTGTGAGATAGTGTGATGATAGTAGGGCTGCAACGATACACCTAGGTCACGATATGATACTTACACAATACACAATACACAATACTTACATCACGATTCGATACGTATCTCGATATGCTACGATACACAAGAGAAGACAGACAAGAGATAAATGAACTAAACTTGGTTTATTAAGATGAAAAGTTAAATGAAAGTGAATGAATGTTCATGATTCATAAAGTATATACTATAATGAGTATTTTAACTCAATGAATCATCTGCCATTTCCATGTAATGGCTAGCAAACACAAATATAACAGTCCTACATGGACTAGATAAGTACCAGTAACTTGCCATTTTCACAGTAAGCCCCTGGTGGTTTCTCTAGCAAAGGACGAGTGTCTGCTTTTTCAGACATGTTTGAGTTAGAGACCACTCAGCCAATCAGAAAGCTTGCACTGCTACTGATATACAAAACTAGCATAGCCAGTGTGTGTTTGGAAGACGTATGTGTGTGTAGCGAAAATTATATAGTCTGATATAGAATTTGAAATTCATTTAAAACACATTTAAAACGTATCTGTAATAAAAGTTTATTAAAAAACGTATCGTGAAAAATCAAGATACAGCACTTCATAAATCTCGCACCGTATGGAGTTAAATGCGATCCTTCGGTGTCCCCGGATATGGTTTCAGCCCTAGATGATAGTTAAAATTCATAGATATATAAATATATACAGTATGAACCTTTCTAGCATTGCCCCAGGAGAATTACAAAGAGGCATCATAATACAAGGCAAACGTTTGGATTAACAAATGTGTCATCATTGATCACAAGCTTAAAAGCATACTTCAAGCATTGGGTGAATAAGTCAGTCAGTTGAGTCCTGGACTTAACCTAGTTGACTGAAATGATGGTAATATCTGACATAGGCAGGTTGTAATCCTGGGTACTGCTGCGGATAACATGCAGCCAGAGCTAACTATTCTCAAATGTAATTCAGTTGGTCCATATATACATAATTACATTCATTGCCAAAGTGTGGATGCTTTCAGAACCCATAACCAGTAGGAACGGCTAGACATTACGGTAACATATCTCAATAAAATCTCCAACAACTCTGGCTTGGGATGTCTATGGAAAGTAATCAGAAAATTGTCTTCATCTACAATTGTTAGTCCAGTTACTGAACCAGCGACTGGGACCATTCCTTAGATGAAACTGATATTATTCCTGGAACTTAATAGATGTCTCGAGATTCCACAAACCCAATCTTCTGTGCTAATGTTCGTTGAAATGAGGCTCGGTTTAGTAAATAACTCGCCTTCTTGGTAGCTCAGAGCATCAGAATGCTGCCTCATAAATTGTGCAATGATTAGTTATGAACGCATGATTACCAACTTGCCAGAGATTGTCTATGCGGAAAATTTGTCATCAGCTGGTGAAGTGCCTGTTATTAGATTGTGGACATAATGATAAGGTTAAGTCGTATGCAGAAAAGTCTCAAGAGATGAACGTGTGATTTGTTATCTAATCCATCTGTTTTCTTTCAGGAAGAAGAAAAATAAACATGCGAATTGGCCATCATGTGAAAACATTTATTCCACAATCTCATTCCTTGTGATTAGAACACGCATGACCTTGAAAATGATTTTAATAATTTGTAAGAAAGTCGTATTAATTAGCCACACATGCTCATGGTTCTGTTTTATTTTTCAGATTTGGATGCTTCCTGCAATAGACAAGTGACTGAGTTGTGATACATTTGCCAATCTATGCTAGTAGCTCAACTATGAAACACCACCGTCATCATCTGCATATCAACACTCTTGGATTCTATCACATCTTGCCATAAACCAGAAGATAGAGGTGTCCTTGTTAGTATGAGGTGCTAATTGCATGTGAATCATGATGTTCAGTGCCAAAATGTCACATTACGGAATGTTCCTGTTAAACCTTGTGCTTCTGGCGCTGGTCCTACCCAGATGCCTTGGCTTCTCCCTAGATGGTTCTGCAGGGTCTTATGCAAAATTTCCTGGCTGGGAACCATGCTTAAATGGAACTCTAAGTTTTGAATTTCAAACAGATCGTCCAAATGCATTGCTATTTTATTTTGACAGTGGCCAAAAGAAGTACTTGGAGCTTAAACTTGTTGGCGGCATTGCCAAATTGAAAGTTAATTTTGGCAAAGGACTTGTCATATTATCTGCTGGGTCAAATTTGAATGATAATGCTTGGCACAAAGTAGAGATTATTCGAAATAATTTGGACACTACATTACTGGTGGACTCAATTGAATTCAGAAGAAAATCATTAGGAGTTGATTTCGATTCAGAAAATGTTACTGAAGATAGATTCTTATTCATGGGTGGATTACCTGAAGAATATGATCGTGAACTCTCAAAACTGTCACTTCCATCAGTCCTCTTTGAACCAAAGTTCCGTGGGTCTATTCGGAATGTGTTTTATAGTAATTGTGGTGCTTTACCTGAAAGGCCAGAAATGATCGATTCACAAGGAATTCTGGATAATGAAGCCGATTTATGCGAGCAAGGGAACCCCTGTTTAAACAGTGGATCCTGTCTGACAACTGATCATGGCCTCGTATGTGACTGTACACGTACAGAGTTTCAAGGAGAGAGATGCGAAATTGGTAAGTTCTGATCAAATTTCAATTGACTTTAAGGCTGAAAAAAGGACTTACATCTGTGGGTGGCTAATGCATCACCCTTGACATTAGGTCAAGTTTTAAATGCTTTCAACAGATTTTTTTGGGTACTGCCACTAAAGGAATATTTGGTGATCTGAATAAAGTATTTTTTTTCAATTTAAAGCTCAGGCCACTTTACCATGTTTGCATGGTCATCTGCATAAGCAGTGCAGCCTTAGAAATAATCTCTATTGAATTGAGATCTAGTAGACTGACTAAATTGTAGTTCTTCCATAGATATAGTAGACTGACTAAAATTGTAGTTCTCCCATTGATATAGTAGACTGACTAAATTGTAGTTCTCCCATAGATCTAGTAGACTGACTAAATTGTAGTTCTCACATAGATATAGTAGACTGACTAAATTGTAGTTCTCCCATAGATCTAGTAGACTGACTAAATTGTAGTTCTCCCATAGATCTAGTAGACTGACTAAATAGTAGTTCTTCCATAGATCTAGTAGACCGACTAAATTGTAGTTCTCCCATAGATATAGTAGACTGACTAAATTGTAGTTCTTCCAAACTGAACATTAATGTTTTGGGGCAAAGGCACTAATAATTCTGTCGATTTTAAATAAAGTGGATAATGTATATATGCATTATTTCTCTGGCTTTAATGCTTTTTTTTGTAAATGTAATACAGGTGAAGAAAAACTATTCATGATTGGCCTGTCAAATTCTATTGATAATGCTTCTCTTTCCCACTTCTGTTTCCTGTTCTGACTTGTAGCATTCTCCTTGATCTGGTGGATATTGTATAAGAGATAAAAAGTATTGATCTGATCATGGGTATTTGGATGGATTGCTTCTCATCTCAATACCTGGGTAATCAAGCAAATAGAATTAAGATACATCTCATTTACATGGGAGTGATTCTCCATGCACAGTACACTGACCATGGCAGACGGCAGAATGAGACGGAAAATGTCATAATCACCGATGCAATGCTAGCCTCTCCAATGTGAATAATGTGCAAAAATGCTGTCTTTGATACCAAGGGAAACATGTAATTTCAAGGATGTATTAAATACAGTTACAACAAATTGTCATCTGATTGAAAACTTGTGATTTAAATAGAACAGTCATTATTTCCTTGCTCATCATGTACGAATAATGACATAAGTGTTTGAAGCCTGCTATAGTAAAATCAATCATCTTTGGCCGAGTTTGTCTTGATCGCTCATCAAAAAACTGCATGTGTTGCGAACACTATCTTTTTATCAATACATAGACATCCTCACCAACATTCAAGTAGCCCCGTGTCTCGAGTGTGTTTACCTTGGTCTTGTGTTGATGTAGGATGCTTGCTGACAGATTTGGTGTAGATATGGAGAAAGCCATAGGTACCTGATTTGCTTGTTGATGCCTCTGTCAAAGAATTACGACCATTGCAGATCTTATGTTTGAATCTTTGGCTTATGACATTTGGTTTAAATCAAACAAAATATTTGCTTTAATGAAAAAATATATTTTCCATGTGAGCGGACATTTTTTTCTTCACTAACAATATGGTATGGATCACATTACATACTGAAAAGGGGGGCACGGGTGGCCCAGTCGTCTAAGTCGCCGCGATTCGCTGTGCAGAGTTGCATCCCTTGGGCACGCCAGAAACCTATGATTGTGGGTTCGAATCCCTGTTCGCCACAAATATGTTTCTAGGTTTGTCAGCACCATACCCGTGCTCGTGGGTTTCACTGAAGTGGTAAACGTCTTAGACCTGCATCACTTAGGGCTTTCCTCCCACATTAAGCTGACATGCCGTGATATAACTGGAATAATGTTAAAAGAGGCGTTAAACCCAACTCACTCACTCACATACTGAAAATGTCAGGCCTGTTCATGAAGGTAAATACTGAATTACTGAAAATATCAGTGCAAAACACAAGTTTTAAACATTTACTGATTTCTTAAACTTCTTTATACAATGAAACCAAAATACCATTTGAATTTTAACCATATCTGAGCTAAAAAGATGGGAAGCTAGAGTTTCTTGCATCTCTCTTTTGGTTCTGTATTTTTATTATGAAAAAATAAACCAGTTTCCTATCCTGTAGATCTATTCAGAGATGTCCTTGTATCTGATATCACTGATATGACCAGAGCTCCAGATAACGTTTTGAGCAATTGAGTTTTTACCCGAAGGTGTCTGTTTTAATTGGGTTATTACATTTTTCATTGGGTAACCAATATTATTCTCTCATCTGTGCATCACTCTATTGGGTTTTTCCCAAAATGAGTAAACATTTTGAGATTTAAAAAAAACTTAAACAAAGTTTTAGATGTATATAACTGTTCTAAATATAGGCTTGACTTAGAAAGTAAATTAGCTCGTAATTGTGAATTAGCTCGTAAATTAGCTCCGTTGTACGCATGCTGAAAAAAGTTCATTGGGTATGTATGTGTGCTGTTTTTATACATTTGAGCTTTTCATTTAATGCATGCATGCATGCATTCCTATTTATTCAAGGAATTGGCCTTCTAGATTGTAGTACTGTAAATTAGAATAGAGTTCAGCTAAAAAAATCGTGCTAATTAACACATTGTATGTCATATGCATGTTTCAGTATCCAAGTAATTTGTGGTTAGGAATGTATTCAGAATTTATTCATGAAATGGGATAGAAACATTTCTATTCATGTGTTGAGATCACAATTTAACAACACCTGAATCTTGGACCTGTATTGTGCCTGATTCCCCTTGATTCTGTGAAAGATGTCTTTGATGTTAACGCCAGATGAGGTTTTAGCCCCTGCTGCGTAATAAAGAGTGGGGAGTATAAGACAATGTCAACAAAAGCAAACATTACAGCATTCTTTACTCAGCCCACCAGTCTAATCCAAGGCAAACAGTTGGCTGCTCGCCACACATAAAGGGTTGATATGTCACCTACCGCAATCCAATGACATACTCTATTGGAATGTATCGATATTTTTGTTTCAACTCTACAGGACAGCAATATAATTTTAAATGATCTCGTTATCAAAGGTCATGGTTAGTACGTGCGAATTACCGCATAGTCCAAGAAGCATGTCATAATAGAACCGAATGAAACGCACCATAAACTTCATTGGAAGGGTGAATTGTCCATTAAAATTGATGAGAATCCTTCCTTGAGTTTTTTGTGGTTAGCCACTGTCACTCAATTATTTATAAGGCATTGCTGATAGGAGTGAGGCATGTTTATTGTCTTCAGGAAATGGACATAGCTTTAAATCACATTAGAGAAATTGGGAACTTGTTTAAGTGCTTTAAATAAAGTCTGATGCTTTACGTCAAAGGAAAGCCTGTGAAAAGTGTAAAATGTTTTGTTAAAATAAAAGATTAAACCTTAGATTTAATCACATCTTTGAAAATGTTTTCCAGAATATTTATGAACATTTAATGATTTCAGAATATTTATTAAAGTGCATATGCATGTTACATTTGTTACCTCCTTAACTAGTGTGACAAATTGGTTGAATTGATTAATAATTAAGCTTCCCTAGGAAATGTGACACATTGCAATAACAAAAAAAGAAGTTGATTGATTTTTTATTTGATGACAACTTTTTTTCCATTACATCTCACATGTGTGCACAACTGCGTGCTTCCATGGTGTAGTAGATAGATGTCTACATAGAGGGTGTAAGGTAGCTGGTTTGATCCCCGGCAAAAGATGGTTGTTGATGTTACCCTGCCAAGCACTCGTCATTAAGGAGATAAAAAAGGACTAGTCTAAGCTTGGAATCAGTATTTAAACACTATAAAATTGGCATAAGTCAAGACAAGCAAATAACACACACACACACACACACACACACACACACACACACACACACACACACACACACACACACACACACACACACACACACACGATGTCAATCACTGGATTCAAAATCAAATTACATGGTTCAAATCTATGTTCAAGACCACCATCTAATAATCCAATAATGAAAAATATGGTGTCTTGGATACTATTTTACCAATGTATCAAAGCAAATAAACTCTTTTAATCTATTATACTTTACCATTTAAAGAAGTCTCTAAATCAAACAAACAAACTAATTTGACAATAACCGTATGTCCACATTGCACAGCAGGGATTTCTCCATACTAGTACAAGCAGCCACACACACACACACCCACACCATTGAATTCAGCAAAATTCTAAGTTGTAAAGCAGGTCCTCGAATATTTTTTGTAAAATGTCATTACATGACATGAAATATATGCATCAAGAAATCCACATCTACAGCACTATTTATACTACACAGTTGACAAGCTAGCTCATGTAGAACATGACAATTTGCAGTATAATTGATGGTGTGATCAATCGGAAACACATAGAGGACACATGTTGGCAGCAGGAAATAGCAAGACTACAGCAGCCATGTTGCAGCTGAAGGCTGATCCTCTCAAGTCAACCTCCCGAGTATTAGCCAATATGTAATGACCATCCAAGCACTGTTGAGTGAGTGAGTGAGTGAGTTGGATGAATGAACATCCAAACCCTGAAATAATTTTTTTTTACAGAAAAATGGTTGATAAATGATCTTAATAAAACATAATAAATAAGAGCCCAAAGACTTTCTTCTAACTGCAGTAATCTGGACTTGCCAACTATTATGACTTGCATGGGCAGTATTGGAGATATTTATTTCAGGGTCTGTATGACAGACTATGAGTGAGTGAGCAAGTTTGGTTTTATGCCACAGTTGACAGTAAATCAGTTATATCACAGTACGGAAAAGGATGCAGGTACAAGCTAGAGATGTTCATCTCACCGGAAACTTGTAAACATGGTATTGTGCTGACAAGCTAAGGATCATAAGCTGGACAAGTCTGAGACTCGAACCAGTGGATCCTGTCACGCCGAAGAGACATGTCTGACTACGACATCTTATCAGACAAGCATGGTAAAGAAGAGATCTAGTTTGCCTGTAATCCAGGCAAAGA